TCGCGCCACATTGAAACTTAGGAGTCATTATTGACTCTCTGTGCGGTCACTTTTCACGTAAGTCATTTACCGGAACGTTGTTTATCCTGAATTTCTGTTTATACCACATGGTCAGGAAGAAAATTACATTTCATCCACATAACTTTAATTTGGTTGACTCACTGGCATGAAATTACACTTTCAGTAATAAGAAAACTTGAAAGCTTCTGATAGTTTAAACATATGATACCATCATGCACTTGCCTGTACACTGAACTCTGCTGTGTTTAAGTTATGTCTCTGAGTACTGTTCCTGAAATCTATTATGGTGACACTCTATCTCTTTTGAACTTTCTGTTAAATAAAACCTCCAGGTCAAATTGTAAATCTTATTGGGTTTAAAATTATTAGCAACGTTAATGTAATGTTACTTCAGAGTACTTATCTCAACATATAATTCATTAAAATATTGCTTGTGTTCTGATCTTGTAATGCACCTATCTTTTTCCCCTAGATTCTTCCATTTGCAACCTCATATCTACCTACCTGAACTAAATTTTTCTGTGTTCTTTATTGAAAATACAGTCCCACAAAACCTAAATACAATAATTATAATAAACGTTTTGCTCTCAACCAACTGAAAGTTGAACTTTATGCCCTAATGGACAAAGGAAACCTGCAATCAGCATTGTGTTACTTTACATGTATGTATTGTCCAAAATTGGTCATACATTCAAACCAAATCAAGCTACCGATGGCTTCTAATGTAGATTACATCATTTCCCAAATGTCCCTGCCCTTCTGCAAAGTTTTGTCCTCTTGTACTGGTACACAAAATGTTAAAAATATTCATATGAAATGCTTCCCTAGAGTTCATTTCACATCACTTGCCTTGGAAAAGACAATCAACCTACAATCGTTACGTAAATATGATCATGACTGAATCTATCAGGCCACTATGGGAGATTATGTTGATGTTTTTTCATTTCCAAAATCCTCAGGTTACGCGTGCAACCTTTGTTGTCAAAATGAGACCTCTATAACAAAGTTTGGCCAATAACTCTCATCTTCAGAATGAACAATTCAGGACGTTTATTTGCTAGTTATCTTGTGTTATTGATGAACAGGATCAATATTGAAAACTATCTAATCTTAATCAGATATTAGCTCTTCTAATAGAAACCCAATGAGACACCAGATACAAAAAAGCAGCTCAATTTCGTAAGCCACACATGTACGTATTGCGGACCTATTTCATAGTATCTCTCACTCGTGAGAGATATTGTCGACACTCAAGGATAAATTCGTATTTAACTGCGGCCAAGTAATACCTTCTCAGTGTTGTCAAAAAGATAACTAACCGGACTGGTCTGAAAGTGGTTCTTTGCATTACACCTTTGTTTTTTCGGTTTTAGTGAATCGCACACATCCAGAAATCTGGTCGAATCTCAAGAGTACCAGCGGTTGTCCGTTTAGTTATCTATCGATCTTTTCGGTGAAGTTGTTATCTTGGGCATTGTAACCGACGGCAAGGAAAATGGTCTCTGAATTTCGAAAGAGTTTGGGACAGGATTGATCGTCATGGCTTCCTTGAGTTTTCTGTTGACCCTGTTACAAAATGGCGGAAGCAACCTCGGCAACATTGATGGATGCGTTTCGCGTAGTGAAAAAGTGGTGATTGCGCCTTAAACACAATCAAAAAAGAAGTATTGTTTAAATTTTTCTGAGAGGCAAGAAGATTTCATTCATTGCTTTATGGTCTGTTTGTGACACCACAACATTTGCGTTTGTGAGAAGATTTCTCTTTGCGAAATATCATTTATTTTGCCGCTCTAAACAGTGTATTTTATGTTTTTGGAAGTGTAAAGAGTTGGTATTTTTAAACTCTACAGCTTTGTTTTAACAGTTGATAGAAACAATTATGCAGAAAAGCTTTCGGGTGTTGTTGTTAAACTCTCATGGTCTGTTGACCCAAACAGTTTACAATCCTAACTGTCATACCAAATTGATCATATTATGCAAGCTGAACGCCGTTCATCAAGCAAAGAAACTCCCCAAAATTTCCAACATTTGAGAGAAGTTAACATTTCCTGTTGCATTTGAAGAGCAAACGTCACCTAGATTCGTTACAACGATATTATCAAGATCATAGGCACTCTACTTTGATTACTCAAAATCTAGCTTAGCAATCGTCACAACCACAACACTCGCAGATTGATCACATCTCAAAGATATGCCTTTCCAAAGTTATCTTCAATCAGTTCGTCACCTCCAAATATGATCACAACGAAAATTACGAAACCAACGATGTAACACGTCCAAACACCAAATTACCGCTGTAAGTTCTTGTGGTCGAAAATGATGTAAAGCCTTAGAGCAATTGCAGAACGGAACCGGGCGAACAATCCATAAAAACTATCTTTGTGTTTGTATTTTGCGGAAGCCACCGAGTAGGCCTGGAGGCTTACTTAGACGAAGAAAAGGAACCTGCTAATGTAGACTAAGCACGAGGCCATGAGAAAAATATCATTTTTTAAATAAGAAAAATATAAGAAAGTCCAATAACAAAGTTGATGCTACAATAATTGCATCGAAGTAGACTTTACGCCGAATTCAAGAAAGTTTCCTAGAAAGTGCAATACAATGAAGTAATCTTATCCCAGAAAAGCAGAGGTGAACAAATACAAAGAAAAAGCCAGAATCGCTGATTAAAGAAGCTACATAGGAATATCAAGTCTCCAGCAGCGACCAAATTACGTATGCATCTGACCTTTTGGAATACTCGGGTAATTTACATTTACATTTTTTGATCAGGATAGATGTGGCGTTTCCTCATTCGCTGCTAAGCTTTTTTTTCTTATAAATATACGGTATCTAAAGCGATTGCAGTGATCAACACAATTTGCCTCTTCTAGTTTCAGACAGCTGTCAGGCATATAAATATGGCTTCGTTTTTAACAAGGCTCGGACGATTGGCTTTCTTCGTTCTGATAACTACACAGAGCATCTTTCTGTCTGCCTATCTCGCTAAGCATGAAGGCAAATCCAATTGGTATTTCATGGCCTTTTCCTTTGGCCCAGCAGTTTTTGCTTGGATTCATCGTCTACGGTTAAAAT